GAGAGAGAGAGAGAGAGAGAGAGAGAGAATAATATTTGTATAGCAACATAAAAAAAAGAATATCTTGTCACACTCAGCTCATTTGATATATCTAGCAGAACTTTGAATTTCCTCAAAACTGTGTGTTTGTTTTTCCTCATCTACTTCAGGAGACTATAACTTTAAAGTCAAAGCAGCCTGATGGATACTGTTTTCACCCACTTTAAGAGTTTGAAATGATCTTTAGTTTGATACCCATACATTTTTTAAAGAATTATATTGACAACTTTTATGACACAAGCACAAAACTTTGATCACAAGAGAAGAACAATTGATTGTACTAATCACAAACTACTTAGCCATTAGCTCATTCTACATGGCTCCAACCTGACTGAAAAAAACGTTGAGTGTAAGTGTGCATGAGTAGAATTCCGTCATCCACTAGTCCAGCCCAAACCTTCTCCTTTTTTCCTTACATAGCAAAGTACAGTAAAGCAGTTCAGGAATATTTATTGGTCAAAGTTCAAATTGGGTTCTTAGGCAGATTCATATTTTTAGATGGGTTCTTAGGCATACAAATTATAGAGAGAAAAAAAGTATGCTCCATGCTAAGAGCAGCTTCTTTAGTTCACAGGATTTCATGTTGAGTGTTCTTAGGCAGAAATCACTTCTGGAGTTTTTTCTTCCCAATTTATTCTCAAAAGAAAATAGCCAACTGTCCTGAAGAGGAGGAAATTTTGAGCTGTGAATCCATCTGTACTAACAATCTCTTTCCTCTTCCGCCTTGTGTTTCTTATAAATTAAACAGATACTGCCCAAGAGGACTTCCTGTCTAAGATGACACTGTCCTCCTCCGCAATGAGTGGCCATCTTGGACATGTTCAGTTGTAAAAGCAAAAGACAAATCACCTGGCCTGTTCCCAGCCTGCTTTCTCTGAGTAATACTTGAAGCATGTTCCATTGAGGAAAACCCAGCCTTCGTCTGTATTGCAAGTGATAGGGAGAGCTGTAGAAATATTGATAAGGTAACATCTTATGAATCTCTCCACACACAGAAATTCGCTCCTTTCAGACATAACACTGTATGGTTAGATTTTCATTTGAACAATTTCACTCCTAACTAGGACATTAAGTCAAAGACTGGGTCCTGGATAATGCCAAAGTTAATTTAACAGAATATTTTTTAACCCCATAAAGGAAATTTTGCAAATGTTATTGGTAACTTACTAATGTAAGAATTTACAGTTCACCTCATTTGTCACTACTCTTCACTTTGTCAGCCCTATTGGGAACAGCAGTTTTTCTTCTCTCGTACACAGCATGACCATCGTTTGATCAGTTTTGTAACAGGTCCTTTTTTTACACTCAACAGAAGTGCAGTCTCTCTCTCTCTCTCTCTCTCTCTCTCTCTCTCTCTCTCTCTCTCTCTCTGGAGTTCTTAGAAACAAAAGCCTCAAAAACCTGGCATCTCCTCCATCCCATAATGCACATTAACAGCAGAAACAGCCTACAATTATGCAGAAAAAAGAGAGGAGCAAAGAGGCAAGTATGGGCGGACAAAAGAGGGTTATATTTATTAATAAGTTATTATACCTGCATCAACAAGGTAAAAAGGAAGGGAAAGCCAAAAGACTAGATGTTGGGAAATACATTATAATGTAGAGGGGGTAAAAAGCCAAAAATAAAACCAAGAATCAAAAACATGATATATATATAGATTTTAGCACCTCTTGTTAAGTCCATAATCGACTACGGTGCGCTTGAAACAGGTTTTCATAGCGTATATCACACTCCATGCCATGCTGGCGCTTTGCAAAGCTCACAGAATTCTAAGTGTAGAATTCACAAGCGGACACAGAATTCTGGAGCGGTGTGATGTCATTGTGACCGTGACGAACCACAAACCACAACGATTTTATATGAGCATTTTATGGAAAGTCGTAGGCCTACTGATCATCGAGCTCCAAGAATGGGAATTAATAGATAAAATCAGATGTATAGCTCCTCACGGAAACTCTAGATTAAACGAATCTGAAAGTCCTGCAGTGATAGTCCAGAAGACAAAGTCATTAGCCCTAGTCCTCACCGTTGACGGACTTCTCATTGCCTCATTGGAAAATGGAAACCGACTTCGCTAAGATAGTCAAAGTGGCCAATTTCAATGGCTACATATTATTGCGGTCTTGTTTCTAAGCTTACAATACACGTTTGAATCAGAAGTCTTTTTAATATTTTTCAGAAAAGGGAGTGTGCCTGTGCGTGTGTGCGCGCGTGTGGGGGGGGGGGGGGGGAGAGCATTGTGCTATTTGGGAGTACGTACATGTGTGTGTGTGTGTGTGTGTGTGTGTGTGTGTGTGTGTGTGCGTGCGTGCGTGCGCGCGTGCGTGCGTACGTGGGTGTGTATTTGTGTGATAGAATGAGTGTTGGGAGGATGTAATGGGGAGGGGCGTGATGTAAGAACCTAATGCAGCATGTTATATATAGAGCCTACGTTAAGGTTGGTTACTCGAAAAGCATTGGTTAATTATTATGATTTACTAAAGTTATATAGTTTAAATTAACATATCTTTTTCCGTTAATCAATATTTCTTAATGTGGGTAATTGTCGGTCGAGCGGTCAAGAAGTTAGACGTCAGCTGTGTTAATAGTGGCATATGCTCTTATCTTGACTTTGTATAAATGTATTATTCTAATAACTCTATATTATGTTTTTAATGCCCCTGTACACAGTTTAGATCATTAAGGAGTCTAGCATAGACCTGCCAGAGTAAACCCGGATTGAGAGGGATATACCCGCGTCGCCCCAGCTGAAAGATCGAGATAGGCCTACATGACGTGCTTTAAAATTCTGTCCACACGGGAATCAAACTAGGGTCATTCGCGTGCAACAAGGAGGCACCAAACCGCTACACCACAGCTTAGACAACTCTGAGAGTCGAGCTCTCAGAATTCTACACTTATATCATTCTGTAGTCGGGGTTAACTTAGAAATTCAAAGCACAAAATACCCCGGTTATCGGGATTGGTTTTATTATTTTTATTACCCACTCAATCTAGTTTGTTATCCAAATGTCTTGAAGTTCTTTTTATCATAGGCAGACGCGACTCCTCTCTTGCTATTATCTGTTTTACCTTGGATTTTTTTTACCTGTGTTGGTTTTGATTCGGATGTTGTTTATTTGTAAAAAAAAAAAAAAAATATGTTAGTTTTGTTTAATGGTCTAATCGATCTTAGGGTGTGGGGGTGGGTGTTTCTGTTCTTGTTTTGTTTTGTTTTCATGTTTCCATTTTGTTTGGTTTTATTGGATTGTTTGCTGTTGCTGGTGTTGTTGCTTGGGGTGGGGAGGGGGGTAGATCAATTTTGTTTGGAGTTTGTTTAGTATTTTGTAGCTTTGTTGTTGTTGTTGTGGTGTTGTTTGTGTTGTTGTTGTTGTTGTGTGTGTGTGTGTGGTAGCCTATCCGTTCGAAATGTTTGGAGCCCCGAAGGGCGTGCTCTTCGCCAGGGCCACAGCCTCTCTGGTGTTGTTGTAGTTGTTGCCGACGTCGTCATTGTTGTTGTTGTTGTTGTTGTTGTTGTTGTTGTTGTTGTTGTTGTTGTTGTTGTTGTTGTTGTTATTGTTGTTGTTTTCAAGTTGAAATGTAGGCCTACTCATTGCACCGCATGCCCTTTTCATTTTCCTAAACATGACCCTCTAACTGGACAAAGGCGAAGAAAAAAACAAAGGTTTGATGGGACCTATGTAGTATAAAAAAAATCGTTATCACTCCTCAAGTTCCCAAACTTTTGTTCTTCTCATCTCAGGCTCTGAGCAGAGAAGAGAGAATATTATCAGCCGATGTACATGTAGTAGGCCACATGCATTCTATTACAAGTATCTCGTGACACTCGGACAGGCTCCATTGACAATTTTATCTTTTTTTTTAAATTACAAGAACAGCAACAACAACCACAACAACAACAACAACAACAAAGAGAGGCGGTGACCCTGGCGAAGAGTACGCTCTTCGGGGCTCCAAACATTTCGAACGGATAGGCTACCACACACAACAACAACAACAACAACAACAACAACAACAACAACAACAACAACAACAACAACATCAATAACAACAACAATGACAACAACGACAACTACAACAACTACAAGAAAAAAACCAAAGACCGTACAATTGTGTAACATACCTTTATCCCTCTCACAGATGAGTCCAAACCACGAGGTGCACGGTGAAATGTTCATGGTCTCGTTGACGTATGACCCACAGACTGGACTAGATGAGGCGGACGGAATGGAACCACTGGCCCAAGGTCTTTTTCAGAAGAAAGATAATATATTACGAAACTGTTATCATCATTATTATCATCGCCACTGTCGTTATTATAATCAATGTCAGCTGAATGCATGTAGTCACTGTTCGGGGTCTGTGGTCGAGTGGCTAGGCGACCGAACGCGAAATTGTAAGATTGCAGGTTCGAGGGTTCGGGCCCGATGTTGTGTCCTTGGGAAAAACACTTTACACGAATTTTCCTTCTCGGGTGAGAATGGGTACCCGGCCATAGACCGCAAAAAATCCTGTCAGTTTTTTTAATATTTTTTTTGCACCTATTAATGGCAGCTTTCACCGTACGCCTCCTGGGTGATTTGGTAGTTTTGGTGTGTGGCTGGAATCGCCCGACGTGGGTTTTAGCTTCCTTAAGGGGGCAAAAGTGAGCGGGCGCTGGCAATTAAACAGATTGACTAGCCTTTCTGTAGAGCATAAATATGACTTTTAAAATAGATGCAATTATTATCAATTATTATTGGAATACCGCTATCATTGTCATTGTACTTTTTGTTGTCATATTTAATGTTAGCCAAATAGGTGACCTCAACAGCAACTTAAGCAAGCGTTCCATAAGCAACAATAAAAACACATCATCATCATCATCATCATCATCATCATCATCATCATCATCATCATCATCATTGTATAAAGAAGGTATTAAAACAGTTAAGACCTTGTTGTATTTCCAGAAAATATATATTATACACAGTTCAACGTTTCGCCCTCAACGGGCTTCCTCAGGAACATTCACAAAAATAATTGGCAAGAATCTAAGTAAACACAGGCTATAAAAACTAAAGTGCGTACATAAATGTCTGAATATTTAAAGGAGCGGTGAGAATCGACAGAGAGAAGGGAGCACTAAAGCCAGAAGTGGTAGAGAGAGAGAGAGGAGGGGGGTGGAAAGGTGCGTGGAAGTAAGGAATATAATAACAGAAGGGTGCGGTGAACACAAATCGGAAAGGCCAGAGAAAGAGAAACACTAGGGCCAGAGGTGGCAGAGAGAGGGAAAGGAAAAGAGGGAGAGAGAGAGAGAGAGAGAGAGAGAGAGAGAGAGAGAGAGAGAGAGAGAGAGAGAGAGGGGGGGGGGAACATATGCATGGAGGTAAGGAATATAATAACGGAAGGGTGCGGTGAACACAATCAATGAGTCGAAAAGGCAAGAGGAGGGGAAACACGAACATCATTATCATCATCTTCATTATCACCACCACCCCACCACCCCACCACCCCACCACCACCACCACCACCATCACCATCATCATCATCATCATCATCATCATCATCAAGTTAACGTACATGATTGTCGTCTTAGCTTTTCCCCCGTCTGGGTACTTGAAGCCTTCCCCTTTTCCTTCGTCCTCAAGACCTACCCACCACTGCATGCGAGGTGGGAGAAAGGTGGCTGTGAGGGCGTTGATTTCGGTAACCAACCAATCCTGGAGTGAGACAGGAACAAAAATATGATAATAATATGGAAATTATACAATTGTTAGATTCTAGTGCTTTTTACAAAGGCAAATATTTCCAATACGTTCAAAGAATTTTTTTTAAAAGGCTTTGATTTCTTAAGAGAGTAATTTCTTAATAAATTATGCTCGTAGCCAGTAATGCTGAGAAGTTGCATTTGGGTTGATAACACAGACACTTGCCTAGAAGAATGATAACGATGATAGCACTGAAAACAAGATGAGTGCGTGATTTGTAGTAGGAACGCCGAACACAGGAAAAAGGAGGGAGAGAAGGTGGTGAGAGAGATGGGGAGACGAGTGAGACAGAGAGGGGGGACTAGGGTAGAGAGAGAGGGGGAGAGACAGAGACAGACAGACAGACAGACAGACAGAGAGAGAGGAGGGTGAGAGCAAGCGAGACACAGAGAGAGAGAGAGAGAGAGAGAGAGAGAGAGAGAGAGAGAGAATACCGTGCTATGGTCCGTTGACTTTCAAGCGATCAACTTTTCTAACAAAGAGACAAACAAGCAACTTCAACAACATCATCATCTTCTACTACTACTATTACTACTACTACTACTACTACTACTACTACTACTACTACTACTACTACTACTGCTACTGCTACTGCTACTGCTACTGTTACTGCTACTGCTGCTACTACTACTACTACTACTACTACTACTACTACTACTACTACTACTACTGCTACTGCTACTGCTACTGCTACTGTTACTGCTACTGCTGCTACTACTACTACTACTACTACTACTACTACTACTACTACTACTACT